AAATAAAGTCGTGCTTATTGTTTTTGCATATGTAGCAACAACTTTAGCGTGTCAATATATCTATAGAAACACGTCTATTGGCACGACTTATTTGCAACGACGTTTCATTGCAATACACTAATAGTCACGAATTCAGTGGTTTTAGGCACAATATCTAGTTGTTCCTCCTAAGCATTTTTCTTGTAGTGTGAGTATGTTTATCTCTCATGGATTTAAAACGTTAATGCTAAAAAAAATATAAAAATAAGTAAATAATTATTTTGAAGATAAAGTATATACAATATTACAATGGTAAATTAAGTCATTTATCGAATTTTTATGTATATTATTAGATTAGAAAAGAAAAATTAACATATATATAATATACATTATTATGAAAGTTATAATGATAAACTAAAACAATTTTGAAATATAAAAAATTAATAATTTTTCACCTTTAGAATAATATATAATACATTCTTGTTAAAGTATGTGACAATTTATAATATTAGGCATAATTACAGTTTTACCATCATGTAATTAGAAATTGAAATAATACATTGTAATAAGGTATGAGTTATGTAAGAGAGAGATACTTTTGTGAGTATTATTTATTTCTATTGTTTAAATGTGTTAAATTTATGTGTTCGTTAATTATAAGTATGAACTTTAAAATGAAAAATATTTTACGGGTGAAATAAATGAATAAATCACAAACTAAATTAATATATATATACATATATATGTGTATATATAAAATTGATATTAATATTCATTATTATTATTATTATTAAAATTTATACTAATTAATATTTTTTATTATCTTAATTTATAATTCCTTGGCCTTATAATCGTTTGAGCTACGTACTAGTAGTCTTTTACGAAAGGAAAATATTGATATTCATTTCCTCACAGTTTTGAAAATGCCCCGTGTTCTCACTAACTACAAAAGTATCTTGATATTGATCAAAATTCTTTATTTTATTAAAGGAGAATCAATAGTGTTCTCATTTCTCCACCTCTCTGACTCGAACCATGACTTATATGGATCATAGGTGAAGTGTCTTACCACTCAAACTGCGCTTCGTTGTGTGATATATATATTAATCAAAATTAACCAAGTTGACAAGTCGATTTGAGAAATTATGCATTTATATGTAGGAGTTATAATACAATTATAGTATTGAAAATAACATAAACAAGTAGTTATATTAATATATTTTAAAGTATAACATTAATTCTTACACTAAAACATAATTTAGTTCCTCATATATTATCATTTATAACAAAGGTAAGTACCTACATTACAAAAAAAAAAAATTGTTTTATTGTATAACCTACAAAATTAACTTGCATTGAGTACTTCGTCTTCAACTTCAATGCCTATTAACTCTCATATACTTGTAACTTGTAAAATAATACATCCAACATATAGGGCGAAAATTGTTTTTGTCTATATTTTGATTATAGTCATAATAAAAATACTTGTTTTAATTTTTGTCAAGTTATCTTGAAAAAAAAAAGGATTTAAATTTTTTGGTACTCTAAAAATGGTACATTTTTACATTTTATTGAAAATTAAATTTTTAGTAGTAAAAAAAATTTTTACTAATAAAAAAAAATATCATGTTTCAATAATTTTTACTAATTGAAAATTTTTACTAATAAAAAAAAAAATGTCACGTCTGCTTACCAAAACAAAAATATATTATATATTTTGGAGAACTAAAACCAAAATAAGGAATTAATCAAATATATACTAGAGTTTAAATAATTAAATAAAACCAGAAGAAATGCATAAAATATCATGTATATTAATATTGTTAATTTTTTTGGTAAAAGAAAAATATGCATGACATTTTTTTTTTTTTTTTTTTTT